CCCCAAAACTCGATTTTGTTATCTCTAATCAGATGTTGAGTCATGTTTGCTCGCATACACGGTGCTTTATCGTGAACAAATATCACATTATCCAGATCAATTACGTTTTCCTCGTCGGTGAGGAATGGAAATACGTGTTGCATTAAAATAATGTCACGAAAATATTGACCGGTCCAAGATTCACCTTTGTCTTTAATCACCCAATGCATTTTTTTCGCGGTGAAAATGATAAAAATACCGATACACGCTTGGTTTTTAACCATTTCGCGATACCTTTCATCGTCTTCAATATCTTCAACACTTTTTGCCCAAATCCTATCATTTTGATAATTTGGTTTGCGAACTGTCCAAACATAAAATTCATCTGATGGTGCCAGATGAAGAAAATCTTCTTCAGTCCAATCTTTCAACCAATCACAGAGCCATAATCGATCTGATATATGAGTTTCAGATTTTAACGGTCTTGAAATAACATGAAAAGGCTTTAATCCTTCCCTACGACGGTAGTTATTAACTGTTTGTCGAGTAACATATTCTTTTTCTTTCTTTGCAATCTCTTTCGCCACGACAGAACCGCTTTTCCGTTGGTGACCACTTGCTTCACGAATAATGTCCTGAGCAGCTCTCGATAACTTGAGTTTAGGACCAGCATTCGAATAATCAGCAAAACATTGGTCACACGATTTTTCCCACCATTCTGTAACAAATCGAGTCGTACGGTGAATTTTGTCGGCAATCCATTGTCTATTTATAAATGTTGCACCAGCATCACGAGCTTCTCGGAAAGTAATGCATTTAATTCTATCAATCATTCTTTGTTGTTCGGTATCATAAGCGCCAGCCATTTGAAATAACAAACGAAAAAACACTGAGATTTCACTCGACTATAACTTTCAGACAGTCCGAGAACGAAAAAATTTTTCAAATAACTAGTATCACGTGGAGAGAAGAACAGAACGCCAAAGAACCATCTTATTGTGTGAGTCATAGTCATATATCATCATCGTTATCATTTCTCTTTCGTTTTCATAAAAAATGTTCGTTTTCAATGTCTCAAAATGTATGAAAAATGATTTTTAACGTGTTTTTGAAAGAAAATTTCGTTGTTTTTAAAAATTTGGTACACGAAAGTTCTTCAAAGTCTTACTATTTACTATCACTAAACCCCATTTTTCACGGGCTTTCATTTGGTATAAAATTCATGATATCTCCGATTCGAGATCATACTGTTACCCCCCTGGAATAATATTATTTACCACCCTGTACACGCAATGAACCTCACGAGAATGAAAATTCCGGTGATTCAACGACGCGCAGATTTCCTCTATATATTTTTTGCGTCGTAATAATGAATGGCGGGAGCTCTTGTTAAAGGTTGTCAAGGACGGAAAAAGAACAAGAACAGAAAAAAAGAAAATAAGTTGACACAGAAATTACCTTGTGTGACTCGAGTGTAATTTGGACTATTATATACTTGAACAGCCTGACTTTGCTATCACAATGGAAGACAAACTACGTTTCAGATTTTGTTTACACAATTGATGAAACATTGTAGTATTTTGCTCAGAAGAAAAATATTTGGTAGTAAGCACAAATCACTGAAGTCATTTTGAAAATGGATCTATCGGAGGGGTTGATTTCAATAAATAAAGTCGAGCAATATTAGTAAGGGAATACTTAAAATAATCTCTTTTACACGGCTAGCATTGTAATTGTGTGGTATGAACACGATGATTTCGTGCGTTTAGGCTTCCAAAATGATGTATGTTTCTGCCTTTTAATATTAACATTGAACAGAGCAAAAGGCTTGTATTTTCTTCAATTATTGTTAAACTTTGAAACGAAATGACTGGGGCATAACCGCTGAGTATAAAATAAAAAAACGAAGATTAGTAATGCTGTTTCTGAAGATAGACAAAAATAGCTAAAACTTAAGGAGAAACAGAGTAGACAATTAATTAATCACACTGTTTCAATCTCCATTTTTCACTGCGTATCCATCGAGATGCCCTAATGATAATCGATAGTACCATGATCTTTATTACAAGTGATCTTTCCGGCAGAAACCAGTAGTACAATTCGATAGAGAATAATTCTCTATCTACTTGTATCCGTGGGTGCCCTGCTGCCATGTTCAGCCCTAGAGGGCGCCACACATAGTGCATTTTTCTTTTGAAATCTTTACCCAGACCGAACTCACCTAGTTGGATCCTATTGGATCCGAAACTATCTGATAGCTTCTGATATTTAGAATCAGATAGGATCCGAGTGTCAGGAACCAACAGTACCCATTAACTTCCAACGATTTCCGACGTCGGATTCCGCCGAATTCCACCAGTAGGATCCGATGATATCCCACAATGAGAACTCGTCAGATTCCACGAAGCCCGACGATATGAAGGTATTTCATTCTATTGTTTTATTCTATTTAATTTTATCTCATTATTTTCTTTGTTTATTAATTTAAGTTAATTATATTTATTTAATTTTTTTTGTATTACTATTTGTACTTTATTTTACCTTGTTCTGTTTTCTTTCATTTTAGATAATATTACCCCTAGAGGGTGTCGGTGTGGGTGAGTGTGGGTGTGGGATGTGGATGTGGAGTGTGGGTGTGGGTGGGTGAGGGTGTGGGTGTGGGTATACGTAGATGGAAGACCAACACCCACACTCCACACCCACCCACTCCCACACCCACACCCACACACTCCCACACCCACTCCCACACCCACACACTCCCACACCCACACCCACACCCACCACCCACACTCTCAATTTCTGGATTATTTGGTTCTTTCGATCTACCTTTCAAAAGATATTGCCGTTTTTGAATAAAAAGTTTCTCCAACCAGAAGGTTTTACACTTTCAAGATGAGCAATGAGAATAACTTTGTCAATAAAAATGCGAAATTCAAAGACGCTCATCCAGCAAGAAATCTGTGTTTTATGTGAAATCACGATTTCCGAGCACCCTTATCTAAAATTTTTTGTCCAAAGTAGTGAGTAGAAACTTCCAACTACTCGTAATGAAAATTTTCAAGAAGAAAGCGATAACGCAAGAAAAAATTTAGAGGGGGGGGGGGGGGGGGGATCCCCCCCCACCCCCTAATCGGATGTGCTGCAGTTGATTATGTTTGAAAACGATGACAAGACCAATACCGAATGTAGCTATCATATCCATACTTATTATGTGCACACAATTGACGAAGTTCTCCAATAGAAACTTCCTGTATGTTATTCATAAAACTTCATTTATAAAAAGAATTTTTAAATAAAATTTAACTAGTTTTAGAAAAACATTTTGTACTTTTACAGTATAAAAAAATAAAAATTGTAACATATTGCATGTGAACTTTCTTGTCGAATTTGTTCGTTTTGAGAGAAAAAAGATAATTGGAGAGAAGATACCTTTTTTGCCTACACAGTAGACAAAAGTACAAAAACAAAATATGCTGACATTTAAACATTGAACATTCTTTCATAGAATTTATGTTCATTGTTGTTTTTAATATAATAATGCAAAAGAGAGAAAAATTGTTTGATTGTTTCTTTTGTTTTTATATAGAAAAGATTTTTCAAGATTGAAAAAAACTTTATTATTCATTTGAATGTTTTTTTTGTTTTGTTAGAAAATAGTTTTTCTTATTTTATTTTTTATAGTATTCACAAGAAACTTTTAAAAACAAAACTGGTTCTATTATAATCAAGACGAAATTATTTTTATTTTAATATTTCAATCAAAAATTATTCAGTGATAAGTAATTTCTATGGTTTTTATTTTCTTAAACAGTAATACTAAAGTAAATTCTTACAAGAATTATTCTTTTTTACTTATGTTTTGATTTATTCTCTTCATGTACAGGGTGGTAAATAATATTATTCCAGGGGGGTAACACTATGATCTCGAATCGGAGATATCATGAATTTTATACCAAATGAAAGCTCGTGAAAAATGGGGTTTAGTGATAGTAAATAGTAAGACTTTGAAGAACTTTCTTGTATTAATTTATCAAACGTTACGATTTTTATCGACATAAAATATTATAAAATCAGTTCATCGAAAAAGTTCGGGGCTAAACTATATGTTGTACAACTGTTTATTTTCTTATTATTTATTGAGTACAATCAATAATCAGTATGACGACCATTAGCACTCTTTACTGCACGAAGTCGAGATGGATACGAACATAAAAGAGCTTCAAACAATTCGGTATTTTCTTCCATGTCCGTCAAAACATCCGCAATGTGCTTTTTAAGTGTGTCTTCACTATATCGATTATGTCCAGTTTCCGATAACATTTTTTGTTCAACTTCATCTTTCATTATTGATCCAATATGTTCCGCCGCATTGAGATCGGGCGAATTACCAGGCCAAATATCATTGCCCCAAAACTCGATTTTGTTATCTCTAATCAGATGTTGAGTCATGTTTGCTCGCATACACGGTGCTTTATCGTGAACAAATATCACATTATCCAGATCAATTACGTTTTCCTCGTCGGTGAGGAATGGAAATACGTGTTGCATTAAAATAATGTCACGAAAATATTGACCGGTCCAAGATTCACCTTTGTCTTTAATCACCCAATGCATTTTTTTCGCGGTGAAAATGATAAAAATACCGATACACGCTTGGTTTTTAACCATTTCGCGATACCTTTCATCGTCTTCAATATCTTCAACACTTTTTGCCCAAATCCTATCATTTTGATAATTTGGTTTGCGAACTGTCCAAACATAAAATTCATCTGATGGTGCCAGATGAAGAAAATCTTCTTCAGTCCAATCTTTCAACCAATCACAGAGCCATAATCGATCTGATATATGAGTTTCAGATTTTAACGGTCTTGAAATAACATGAAAAGGCTTTAATCCTTCCCTACGACGGTAGTTATTAACTGTTTGTCGAGTAACATATTCTTTTTCTTTCTTTGCAATCTCTTTCGCCACGACAGAACCGCTTTTCCGTTGGTGACCACTTGCTTCACGAATAATGTCCTGAGCAGCTCTCGATAACTTGAGTTTAGGACCAGCATTCGAATAATCAGCAAAACATTGGTCACACGATTTTTCCCACCATTCTGTAACAAATCGAGTCGTACGGTGAATTTTGTCGGCAATCCATTGTCTATTTATAAATGTTGCACCAGCATCACGAGCTTCTCGGAAAGTAATGCATTTAATTCTATCAATCATTCTTTGTTGTTCGGTATCATAAGCGCCAGCCATTTGAAATAACAAACGAAAAAACACTG